GTGAATCTGGAAGCGATCCGGCAGTCACCCCAGCTGATCAAATGTGGACGAGACAGTGGGACAGGAGCCACTGTGCGCACAAGCGCTTAAGCACAAAGAGAAACCGGAGGGAACGGGGCTGATAGGGATAAGCAGCAGAAGAAAGAACAGCAGTTGGATAAATGGGAAAAACGGGGGAAGCTGCAATTGAAGGTACCTATAATGCCGGACACAGATGTGCGACCCAGAATGATTGCTCAGGGGGGCGGTCGGAAAATACACCAACAGCAACAACATTAGGAAAGATAGGATTGACAAGGATGGGAAGGGTGGAGAAAGAAACAATGGGAAGAAAGGAGGCTGTGAAATTGGAATGCAAACGAGGGGAGGCAGGACAACTGAGGCAATTACGGTCAATTAGGACGGACAGCCCTATCACATGGTCAATGGGCAAGAAACTGAGTTCGCAAGGTTTATAAGAAAACTCCCCGCCCCCTGACACTTACTCTGATGAGGCTGGCAGTGGACCAGCAAAAGCTTAGGTTGTTTTTAGTATTGTAAATAGTTGTTTTTTATTGTTTTAGTTTTTTAACAATAAACAGCTGGTTTATATCCTTCCCAGAGTTCGAGGATTTTCTATCATTGCATATATAATATATGTATATGTGTATGTATATGTATATGTATACAATGAATTTGAACATGAACATAATAGGATTTTTAAAAGGTGACTTGTTTGCTAATATAGTGAAAAGCAGCTCTTGAATTCCATAGAGAAGATATGGTTGGATCTATTGCTCAGCTATGCTCTCCTCACTCACTTTTCCAAATGGAGAATAACACACACAAACCTGTGGGACTTTATAGGCTCCATCAAGAAGGGTCACGAGGTTGTCCTTCCTTCTGCAGCCATAGTTGGAGACATTGGCTTCTCCAGTGGAGAGCAGACCCAGCAAGACACCTGAAGTCCATAAAGTGTTCAGATAGTTATCAGGGATGTTGTAGCCAAATGTGAGATTGTGCAGGAGCTGGGAATTCTTGTTGACCATTTGAATGGCAAAAATTAATTGTAGGGTTTTTGAATGACCTAAAGGAATCCTAGTGTAAAAAAATGCTCATGTTATTATTATCAATTGCAACAACAAATGCTTTTGTAAAAATTTAATGCACTTTGTATCCACGAGTCTACTGAGCCTTAAGTAGACCCTATTGATCGCAAACCGATGAGCAGTTATACAAATACGTAAATAGGCTGGGCTGAGGCAACTAGAACTGTTTCAATCAGCACTTTAAATATAATTCCCTATTCAAGTGATGAACTCAGGACGGAACTAGGAGAGGAAAATAATCTGGAGTGTTCACAGTTTTTTCAGCCCCATCTTTGGATTTGAGTCTCTTCCACAAAATCGACAAAAAAGAGAAGCCATGGAAATACAAGTCATTCGTGACATTAGACAGGTCCTGCAATATAAGAGTAAGTGAAATAAGAAGAAAAAAAGAAGAGCACCAGAATTTCAAAAGAAGGGAATGCCACTCCATCACCCTAAATGACTTCCTAATCAAAACAATTAGAAGGAGCCGTGTTGAAAGGCAACGTTTTATCCCACATTACTTGTTCAGTCACAATTATGCCAATGAGATGGTCTCCTGGCCTGTGCTAGCTCCATGAATGTTTTCCATCCTGGGGCTCCAAACCCAGCGGGCAGCATCAGGACCAGAAGCCAGAGCTCCATCATTCCTAGGGCTGAATCCATCGCCTTCCAGCTTCCAAACAAGATTTAGACGATTTTGAAGTAGTTTCTCAAGAGGGAAATGCCAGAGAGAGACGAATGGAGCTTCACCCGAAAAGGAGAGAAAGGAACATTCAAGAGCACAGACAGACCCCGCCTGTTCCAAAACCTGGGCCACACAGAGCATTTATCTTTTTCTGATGCACATTTATCACTCTGATTTATCACTCGGGAGAAGTAGCAGGAGAGCTCTCAAAGGACGGGATGGTGGTTATTACAGGGAGAAGCAACTTTTCCAATGGGGACCTCAAAGACTGATATTCTGAAAATCACAGAGGGAGGTAACTTGTCCTTTGGGGCTTCTGAACTTCTTGCACGGCTCCATGTGAGGATGGTTAGCTGGAGAAAAGTATGTTAGTGAAATATCACAGATACATCTTTGGGGGCACGTTCTGTAGTGGTTGTGGTCCTTCCTATCAGGACATTTCCAGAAAGGGATGCTGGGTGAAGACAGTTCAGTAACAAGGGGATTGACTTCTTCTGCCCTTCAACATGGCCTCTGGTCTTCAGAGGCTGCTGTGTAAGGTCTCCCAGACCTATGAGGTTTGGTGCCACTCTAGGTTGATGACACATATCAGTGGTGCTCCATGTCTTCTGACACCAAGGAAGCAATCAGCACCCTTGAATCCTGCCAATGTTAAGAGTAGGGCCTCTTTTATATCAGAACTGCATCTATTAAACCCGAATTGGAGCTAATTTTAAAATTCCTTGTGCCTGGAGAGAAATTTTATTTCCCATTTTTTTCTAAAAATATAAAATTTGGGATGAGACTTGCCTAAAAGGATTAGGACTGCTTTATAAAACCTTAGTAAGACCACACCTGGAACACTGCAACCAATTTTTGTCACCGTATCACAAAAAAGATGTTGAGAGCTTGGAAACCAATTAGAGAAGAGCAACTAAGATGATCAAAGGACCGGAGACTAAAACATACAAAAAACAGCTGCAGGACTTGGGTTTGGCTAGTCTAAAGAAAAGAAGAAACAGGGGAGACATGATTGCAGTATTCCAGTATTTGAGGGGCTCCCACAAGGAAGACGACATCAAACTAGTCTCCAAAGCACCAGAGGGCAGGATGAGAAACAATGGTTGGAAACTGACGAAAGAGAGAAGCAACCTGGAATTAAGGAGAAACTTCTAACAGTGAAGACAATCAACCAGTGGAACAGCTTGCCTCCAGAAATCATGGGCACTCCATTACTGGAGATTTTTAAGAAGAGGCTAGACGGTCACTTGTCTGAGATGGTATACCGTTTCAGACAGATGGCTGCCCAGTCTTTCCTTAAAAACTCTAGTAATGAAGCACCTAAAACTTCTGAAGGCAGCTGTTCCACTGGTTAATTATCCTCACTTTTAGGAAGTTTCGCCTTAATTCCAAGTTGCTTGATTAGTTTCCAACTGTTGTCTTGCCTTCTGGTGCTTTGGAGAATAATTTGACCCCCTCTTGTTTGTGGTAGTCCCTCAAATACCAGAATGCTGCTATCATGCTCTTACTAAGGACTTATAAAGGGATACTAAAACTTAACGTGATTTGGATTCCATCCCTCTGTTTACACAACCAAGGATTCTGACACAAGGGTTGCATTAGCACTGCTGGCTGCTGCCACACACGGCTGGTTGATTTACCCACAAGCTGCAGAAAGAGAGAAGCAGCGTCTCTTTTGCTCTCCCCCTTCGTAATTGCCCTGGAGGTGCTGTGAGGTCCTTTCTTCCCCCTTTTCTGTCTCTGGGGTCCCTGCCTGGGGCTCATGAGGAGCATCTGATCTTTTCTGGCCATCACTGGATCAGGTGGGAAAGAAGCCCCAAGGGAAGAAACTCCTGCCTTGGCTGTGATTGGGGCTCAGAGGGGACACAACACCCACATTTGGGCAGGGAACACAGTTTGAGAGAGGAGTGAGAGAATCCGTTGGTGCCAAAGCAGAGGCTCCTTCCCTCAACAGAGACGGAGGCCTCAGACACAACCTGTCCCCCATTTTCTGGGCTGCTCTCTCATCGGCCCCCAGGAAGAACACATGAACCCATAATGACCCCTAAGAAGTTCAGGAGTTGGTACATTCCAACCGCTCTCTGCCTGTCCAGAATCCCTCTATCCAAATGGTTCAGACCGAAGAAACTGCTGGAGAAGCAGAAAAACCTCTCACCTAATAAAAAATAAATCCAGTTACCCCAACTCCATTTCCAGACCTCCATTGAAAGTCTCCCCTTTGCTGGCAGTGAGGGAAACATGGGGGGGGGGAATGCAATGCCTGGGATCTGGGAAAAGAGAAAATAAGTGATCGTGCTGATGGAGCGGACTGATGCTATATTTCCCTGGACTTAACAACTAGAAATCTGCCGAATTGACTCGCCCGGAAGAACTGTGGGATGGGGTTGCTTGGGAACACTTTAAAACACGGAAGGGTGGGAGAGGATCCCCCAGATCCTGTCTAGGATGCCTGCAATCGGTTTCTCTGAATAAAGATCCCTGTTGGAAGAGACTTTCCAGGCGTTCTGTCTTCTCAAGATGGAAAGTGAGCTGGGTCCTTACAGGCCCCTGGGGTCAGGATATCAGCTGCCCATTGTGAGGTCATCAGTAATGCTGTGATGTCACCCCTGAGGGCAGATATATAAAGCCAAGCTTGAGGACAGGAAATCTGAGGCGAGTTGAGGCGAGGCGAGGAGAGGAGGGAGTTGAGTTGTATTGTGTTCTGTTGTGTTGGAGAGGAGAGTGAAGTGGAGGAGGTTGGAGAAGATCGGAGGAGAGCTAAGGAGAGGAGGGTGATATAGAGAGGACAAGATCGGAGGTGGTCAGAGTGGAGTTAAGGAGAGGAGAGGAGAGGAGTCGTACTGTGTTTAAGTCGAAGAGAGGAGAGTGAAGTGGACGAGATTGGAGAAGATCGGAGGAGAGCTAAGGAGAGGAGAGTGGTGTAGAGTGGACAAGATCGGAGGTGGCAGGAGAGGAAAGAAGAGGAGAGGAGAGGAGAGGAGAGGAGAGTGTGGAAATCCATCAAGTGAAGAGAAGAACTTTGCAAAGTTTGGAAGATTAGAAGATCAGGTAAGACTAAACCTTGATTCTGCAGATTATCTTTCCTCCTATTAAAGATAATAGGGGTGGGGGGTGGGGTAGAGTGGGGTGGAGTGGAGTGGAGTGGAACAGAACAGAACAGAACAGAATAGAATAGAATAATAATTCTTTATATGTCCACGTACGATTGGACACCCGAGGAGAGATGGGAGCACCAAGGACCCCTCATTTCAACCCAGAGTTACAGACCTTCTCCTTTATTGGTAGGGTCTGCTTCCAGTTCTAGCCCTCACTCTTCACGGCAGGATGAGTCGCAGGCTGACCAAGTTGCCGTTGCTAAAGAAGAAGGACAGCAAGGAGTCCAACCTTCAGGTCAATCGTGACCAGCAGCAGTGGGACCGCCAGGTAGCCCATTTCTCTGGCTCCCACCCATCCACTTCCCAAGACGCAGCCACTCGGAGAACCACGCAGCTCCTGCCTCTGCTTGTGAAGTCTTCCGCAGCTCCAACGCAGGCCAGGAAGAGGGTTCAGCTTCCAGCGCTGGTGCTCCCCGACCTGGGCCAAAGGACAACCCTGAGGACCACTCCAGGGACTGCTCAGGCGGACGACCAGCAAGGCGAGAAAGAGCCCGTGGCCTTGCCAAGGGTGCCGGAGAGGGAAAGCTCTCAGAGGAGCAGCCTATCCCAGGGGAGAAGGCCTTCCAAGGCCCTCCTGCCTTTATATCCAGGTACACACAGAGCAGGGCTGGGCTATCTATGGAAGCAGCTTTGTCCTATCACATTAGCCCATCCCACTCTTTCCATCAGTCAATCAATCCATCCATCAATCAATCAATCAATCAGAATAGAGCCGGAAGGGACCATTTGGGATCCAGAACATTGATTTAATAGGTCCCAGGACTTGATCCCGCCTCAGAGCTCTTTCAGGGTGTTTACCTACCCCTTGGGTACAGTTCTTTCTCTGTTTATTACAGAACAATCGAGTTGGAAGGCACCTCAGAGGTCTTCTAGTCCAACCCCTGCTCAGGCAGGAGAGTCTATGCCATTTCAGACAGGGGGCTGTCCAGTCTCCTCTTAAAAACCTCCAGTGATGAAGGAAGTTGCTCCACTGATACGTTGTTCTCACTGTTCGCCTTAGTCCAAGTTCGTTTCCCTCCAGGGCTTCTTCTCCTGCCCTCCGTGCTTTGGAAAATAAGGGGACCCCCTCTTCTTTGTGGCAGCCCCTCAAATACTGCATCATGTGACCCTAAGTCCTCCTTTCCTTGGGCCATACCCAGTCCTAAGAAAAGGAGGACTTGGGGGAGCACGATCCAGGAGTTGAGGGGCTGCCACAAAGAAGAGGGGGGTCAACCCAGCCCCTGCAGCCGTTCTTCCTCAGGCAGAGAACTTAGGCTACAGAGCCCCTCAGTCCAAGAAGGTCGGCCGGTGGGGTCTGGGCAGGGGGCCTTCTCTACCCCTGCTGCTCCTCTATCAGGAAACCCTTTGCCCTCTGAGGGGAGGGGAGACCCCGTTCTCTTTGCCTTTCACAAAGCGGTTGAAACCTGGCTGTGTGGCTTTGGGTGGCAGGCACAAAGGGCCACACAATCCCGGGGCTGGCTGGTACCACGAGAGCCCCCCCTCCGCCTTTTTCATTCACCCACCTTGAACGATCGCCAGTATTGATATACCAATATACAGCGTCCCCCCAGGATAGGGTCTCCTGCCTTCAGGATCCCTTCCAGCTCTGTCCTGTTCAAAGACCCTGGGATTTTTATTGCTTTGGAATGTCACAATGTTGTAATCTTACCATTTTTTCTTTAAAAAATGTCATCCTAAATTAATCTTAATATTTTATGGCGAATTTTATATGCTGCTTTATACGCTGATTACACAGCACAGTGTCCAGAGTGCCTCCCCGAGATGGGTGTCTGGGAACATGACCTATAAATAAATTTAGTCAATAGATTTCAGGCAAAAGGCACTTAGAGGTTGTGGTTAAGACACCCGTCCAGAAACAGGGAGGTGGTGAGTTCTAGTTCTGCCTTATACGCATGACAACGGGCTGGGTGACTTTGGGCCAGTCAAGCCAAAGGAAGGGCCAGGGCTGACGGGATAGCAGTGTTCCAATATTTGGGGGGATGCCACAGAGAGGAGGGGGTCAAAGCCCCCGAAGGCCAGACAAGGAACATTGGATGGAAACGGATGAAGGAGAGAGTCGGCCTAGAACTATGGAGGAATTTCCTAACAGGGAGAACAATTAATCGGGGGAACGAGTTCCCTTCTGAAGCGGTGGGTGCTCCATCCCTGGAGGCTTTCAAGGAGAGACTGGACAGCCACTTGTCAGAAATGGCAGGGGGTCTCCTGCCTGAGCAGGGGGTTGGACTAGATGACCTACAAGATCCCTTCCAACTCTGTTATTCTGTAAAGGTTCAGTCACTTCAAAATGAGCATGAAGATTTATGGCAAGCTGAAGCTCCCTACAAGAATCTGACCAGCTGGCCATTAAGGGGAAGGGTCCCTGTGACAACTCGCCACGGCCAACTTGGGTGGCCAACTAGCCGAGGGACAACTCACTGCAGAACAAGAGCTACATTAATATCACAGAAATGGTGGAAGAGAATCGTGAAAGAAAGGATGGCAAAGGAATGAAATGTGGACGATAAAAATTAAAATGATTTTTTATTTATTTTAAACAATGAAATTGAATTGTTACATTTTCCTGTGGCGAGTTGTCCCATTCCACAAAGGTCAGAAAGAAACACATTCAAGTTGGGCTGGATTTAGATCTCCTGCGGACACGAAGGGACTTGTGACTAATTACGCCTTGGACCCCTCCCTCCCTCCCTCCCTCCCTCGGGCTCAGCCTGGTCTTCCCCTGCGCACCCTTTTTTCTCCTCCTTTTGGGAAGGTTTGTCCCATGGAATTGCCCATCGTCAATCCCAGTCTCTCTCTCCTTCTCAGAACTCTCCGACCAATGTTTCCAAACCTTCTGGGAGAGCAAGGAGCCACTGAACGGCAGATCTGTGACAGAGATGTTGGAGCAGATGGATGAAAAGGAAATACTAGATACCATCCTGGAGCATCTTCGTCCCTCCCTGCATGTAAGCAGATTGGTTTGTGTCAGGGGGATTCCAGGGGTCCATCCCGGAGAGGGTGCAGAAGCAAGGGCTGTCTCCGTGGAGATAATCTATCCCAAAGTGGACAAATGGGGTTGTGGAGAATGTGCTGAACTATGGGGCCTTTGGTGCTCTCTGAGCTGGGCTGTTTTCTTGCAGACGTTTCACGACCCAACTGGGTAACCTTATCAGTGCTAGTGGGTGTGAGGCTCGCTCCCTGCTTATTCAGGGCAGGCTACTGGGTATAAACAGAGAGCAAATGCCACTCCCTTCTGCTACTGATGATGTTGCCTATTTGGGTCATGAAACGTCTGCAAGAAAACAACCAAGAGAGCACCAAGGACCCCATAGTCCTCCTCGTTCTCCACCATCTTCCTCCCACCTCTTTTCTCTCTCCTCCCTCCTTCTTCCTCCCCTTCTTCTCCTCCACTCTCTAAACCCTCTCCCTTGGAGCCCTGATGGTGTTCCTAGTTGGATCGTGAAAACTCTGCAAGAAAAAAGCCCATAGTTTTCATTGTCCACCATCTTCCTCCTCCTCCTCCTCCTCCTCCTCCTCCTCCCCATAACCCCTCCCCACCCTTCTAGCACCGATGATGTTACCTTGCTTGGCCCTGAAACATTTGCAAAGCTCAGAGAGCAGCAAGAGCTCCCCAGTTCACAACCCTGAGCTGCAAATATTCTTTTCCGTCTCCTGAACTAACCTCAGTTCCTGCCTGCGCAGCCAGCCAGCCAGCCAGGGGGAGGGAGACTGGAGTTGTACAGGGGGTCCTTAACTTACAATCTCAACTCCGCCCAGATTTTAGGGGGCTGAGCAAGACACTTTGTAAGTGGGCTTTGTTCCCATTTTACGACCTTTGAACCCCTGCCAATGTTCAGTTAGTCACAGGGTTGTTAAGGGAATCGGGCTCCTCCCTTGACTTTGCTGGTCAGGAAGTCGCAAAAGGGGATCACGTGACCTGGGACGTTGCAACCGTCACAAGTACATGCCAGTTGCCCAGCATCCGAATGTTGATGGCATGACCACACAATGGTCATAAGTGCGAAAAACGGTCAGAAGTCATTTCTTTCGGTTGTAAATTATTCCTTATAAATAAATGGCTGTACATCAAGGGCCAGCAACCTCTGGAGACGGGTTGTTTGCCTGTCCTTCCAGTCAGAGGAAGCAAATCTAGGGTCTTCATCCGGACAAGCATTCTCACAATTTGTGGCAGAGATTTTCCAACAGCTCCTCTCCAAAGCTGCCTCAGCTTCAGCTGACACAACGCGGGAGGGTCCTTCTTGTGGCTGTCCCGGCTAGAAAAGTCAAGTAAACTGAGGCAGAAGGGAAAGGGATGCTTTCCTTGGAAACACACAAGGGAACCCGTTCCTTCCTCTGCTCCTTCTCTTTGCCTCCATGCCTTCCTTCTTGCTGCCTCAACAGATCTCTGCAGGCCCCCAACTGCCCAGGAGGAAAACGGATGGACTTCCCTCCCTCCACCAGAAGTCTGCGCTCCGAGAAAGTCATTCCCATCTCTTGCCTCAAGAGAAGGTAAATATGCTGAGCTTTTCCCCTTGGGGGGGGGGGGGCACAATTGTCCTAGACACAACGCCAACACAATGCCAACTCAATTCCTTCCAATGATTTAAAGAATTATTTTCATTTTTGTCGTTCACGTTTCATTTTGTCCCTCCTTTGGCATCGTTCCTTTCATGATTCCGTTCCACCACTTCTTCGAGATTAGACAGACAAATGAATAGTAGCATAACAGAATTGGAAGGGACCTTGGAGGTCATCTATCCAACCCCCATCCTGGACCCATGGCTGCCCAGTCTCTCTTTAAAAACCTCCAGTGATGGAGCACCTGCAACTTCTGGAGGCCAGATTGATTGTTCTCACTGTCAGGAAAATTCTCCTTCGTTCTAGGTTGCTTCTCTCCTTCATTAGTAGCTGACCACACGGTGCCCATTTCTGATCGTAGTTTGTCCCCCTTTTCCTTTTCCTGACCCATTGGTGGACCTCCCTACGATTCCCTGACTCTTTTCCCAACCTTCAGATTTCGCTTTACAAATACTACGGGGTGAAACTACGCAACTCGAGACAGAAAGACCTGGTCAAGGAACAACTGAAAAGTCTTCTAGGTTTTTCATTTCAAGAAGAAACAGACAGAGAAGTGAGTGGAAGTGGGGTTTCTGCAGGGGCTGAGCCCTCCAGCTGTGTGGGGCCCTTGGTGCTCTCCGAGCCGGGTGGCTTTCTTGCAGACCTTTTGTTACCCAACTAGGTCACATCATCCGTGCTAGAAGGGAGTGGGGTTTGTGGGGAGGAGGAGGAGGAGGAGGAGGAGGAGGAGGAGGAGGAGGAGGAGGAGGAGGAGGAGGAGGAGGAGGAGGAGAACTGTCTTTGGTGCTCTCTGAATTTCATTTTTTTTAAAGACGTTTCATTACCCAGCTAAGTAACATCATCCGTGCTAGAAGGGAGAGGGGATTGCTCTCCTTTTGCAGGTGGTTCTCAACTTACGGCCACAACTGGGATTGGTATTTCCATTGCTAAACAAGGCAGTTGTTAAATGAATTGTGCTGGATTTTGTGACCTTTGGGGCTATGTTGTTTAAGTGAATCACCGCAATTGTTAAGGGAATCCTGCAATACCTTTTTTTATATTCGCTTTCTTCAAGGATGCTCTAACTTGGAAAAGTCACAGAACAAATGGTTGTAAGTCGAGGACTGCCTGTATTTAATTCCTGTCCACCCTCCCAAAGCTTGGAAGGAATAAAAAGAAGGATGCAGTTAGTAGGGCAGTTCGTTTAGTGACCATTGAAAGTTAGGACGGCACTGAAAATGTGACTTATGACCATTTCTCCAACTTACGGCCGTCGGAGCATCCTTAGAGTCACCTGACCAAAATTTGGATGTTTGGTTCCTATTTGTGACGGTCGCAGTCTCCCAGGGTCACCTGATCCTCCTTTTGCGACCTTCTGGAGAGCGAAGCCAGTGGAGAAGTCAGAGGCACTTAAGAATTGTGTTACTAACTGAACAACTCCGGTGACTCACTTAACAACTTGGCAAGAAAAGTCGTAAAATGGGGCAGAACTCCCCTAACAAATGTCTTGCTTAGCAACAGAAATGTTGGGCTCACTGGTGGTTGTACGTTGAGGACTACCCGTATATTAACAATAATAAGACGATAACATCAGTGACTCTTCTTGACCGAAAGAGGATGATCCTTTTTCCACTGGCTCATAAATTTATTCCTAGAGAGGCAGGAAGAACAAGGTAGGCAGAGGGTGAAGGACTGGAGCTGGGTCTCCACAGGGAGGCTCCAAGCGTCAAGATGGTGGCCACAATGCGGCAATTGTTCCATCCTGGCATGAAGTTTTTGACCATGGGACTTCAAACTTGGCGACTTTCAGATTTGTGGACTTCAACTCCCAGAATTCCTCAGCCAGCACTCTGGGAGTTATAGTAATAATAATACTAATAAAGTTGGAAGGGACCTTGGAGGTCATCGAGTCCAACCCCCTGCTCAGGCAGGAAACCATTTCGGACAAATGGCTGTCCAGTTGAAGTCCCCAAGTCTTAAAAGTTGCAGGCTGGGGGATTCTGGGAGTTGAAGTCCCCGAGTCTTAAAGTTTGGAGACCTCTATTTCTGACCACCACCCATGGACCACTCTTGTTTGGAGCAAACGACTCCAGAATGTGGCTCAGCTCAAGAGCAAAGAAGAGGTGGCTCTTGCTTAGCCTTCGTCACAGAAGCAGCCTGCAATAAAGACACACGATGACGGGTCAAATGTTGAAATGTCCTAATTCGCAAGCATCGCTTTGCTTAGGGAATCTCTGAAGCCATCGGAGTGGTTGCCTTTTGCCATCTTCCTGAGATCCTGGTGGCCCTGAGGCAGGTTGGCCACTTTGTGCGTGCAAAGAAACCTGCTCTGCAAGAAGCCCCCTTTCAGGTAAGGCCAGAGATGGGCTTGCAAGGTCTGAGACTCAGGACAGAAGAACGCTGGGGGATTCTGGGAAGGAAAGTCCAACGTGTTACCAGCGCTGGGAGGTGGAAATTCTCCATCTCCATCCCCCGGAGGGCTGTTTTATAACGCTAGAGGAGGTTATGAGTTGCCCCAACAAACATCTCCAGTAGACCCAGAGATGCTTTTTCAGAAGGCAACTGGACTTTGTTTTTCCTTCCTTTCACTTCTCATCCAAGAAGCTTCTTCTGTTCTGACTGAGAAGGGGATTGGACCGAGGGATGATGGAGAATAGTTCTTATCGCCTCATCCCTTCCGGTGGTTGATGACCACTTCCTGGATCTCAGTGTGGAGGTGGGAAAGGGGCCCCAATTGGAGGCCAGACATGTGGACTTCCCAAAGACATCCAGTGGGCCATTTGGGATCCAGAACGGTGATCTAATAGGTCTCAGGACTTGATCCAGCCTCAGAGCTCTTTCAGGGTGTTTATAGATACCCCCCCCCCCGGTACAGTTCTTTCTCTGTTTATTATACAACAAAGAACGTAGATAGAACAAGCGAGTTGGAAGGATCCTCAGAGGTCTTCTAGGTCCAACTCCCAGCTCAAGCAGGAGACTGTATATCATTTCAGCCAAATGGCTGTCCAGTCTCTGTTTGAAAGCCTCCAGTGATGGAGCACCCACAACTTCTGGAGGCAAGCTGTTCCACTGGTTAATTGTCCTCACTGTTGGGAAGTTTCTCCTTAATTCCAAGTTGCTTCTCTCCTTGGCTAGTTTCCATCCATTGCTTCTTCTCCTGGTGCTTTGGAGAACAGGTTGACTCCCCCCCCCCCCGTCTTTGTAATCACAGGACCCACACTCTTGTTTTGAGAGACAAATTCGCACAGCCGTGATCCTGTGCTATGGCCACGCAGCCCTGGGAGCCCAGCCAGAGGACCTGATGCCTTTAGCGGAACACATTGTCTCTGAGATTCTCTTCCAGTATTGGACCAGGAACAAGGTAGGCTGGCTTCCACCCTGGGCTTCTCTTTGCCCTTTTCTCAGAAAGGGGGGAGTCATGTCACCGGTCTTCCCGCTGAATTAAGATGGAAAAAGAACCCCCTGTGATTATTGTCCAGAATCGCCTCTCATTATTTCCCCTCTTTATTGCGAGAACAAGGACAATCTGGAGTCCTTAGCTGGGTTGCCTTCTTGCAGACATTTCATGACCCAGCTGCGTAACGTTATCAGTGCATTGTGGGAAAGGAGGAGCAGGAGTAGCAGGAGGAGAAGGAGGAGCAGGAGGAGAAGGAGGACGATAGAGTCCTTGGTGTTCTCGGTTTAATTGTTTTCTTGCAGATATTTCCCTACCCAACTAGGTAACGTTATCAGTGCTAGAAGGGAGTGGGGTTTGCTCTCCTTCTACATACGAGTGGCTTGCCCTGTCAATGCCGGCAGGACTGTTGTTTTTCTTCTTGATATTTCCTTGATCTATTGTTTACCACTGAATAGTTTCTCTGGTGTTAATCACCGCTTATCTGGGTTTGCATTGCTAGTGAGGAAATACAAGGAATGTCTGCAGGAAATCCAGCTAGCTCGCAGAGCACCACCCCTGAGCGACAAAGACCCCCCTGTATTGAATTCTCTGACTGCCCATCTTAGAGGCAGAAGAGAGTAGAACGACAGAGTTGCTTGGAAGAATCCTGATCTCTGGATCAGCAGGAACCCTCCAGCCCCCAGTTAGGCCTCTAATTCAGATTCGCCCCCTATTCCGATTGCAGAGTAGATGTTTAAATGCTAGTTGTTCATTTATCTATTGGAAGGTCAAGCCGCCTTTATTACACTCAAGGCAGCGGACAAGCATAATATTCTTCCCTCCTTCCCCCAACAACCTTGTGAGGTAGATGGACTGGCCCAAAGTCTCTCAGCTGGCTTTCATCCTAAGACGGGACTCGAACTCACAGTCTCCTGGTGATTGGCACAAAGTTACCCATCCAGAACTCGCCATTTTGGGTGACGGCACAAAGTCTCTCAGCTGGCTTTCATCCTAAGATGGAAGAAAAACTCAGAGTCTCCTGGTGACTGGCCAAAATCACTCAGCCATCTTTCATGCCTAAGGCGGAACCAGAACTCAGAACGTCCAGGTGATATTTTGATTGGCAGCCCCTCAGAGTTCAACAGAAGGTGGTTGGCTGCATCGAGGTTTAAATCAATCAGTGCTTCCTTCTGGTTTCCTCTAACCCTCCGCTATCCACCCTGTATAAGGACCTACCCGACTTTACATTTTAAGAAGACAGAACTCTTGGAATATCTCTTCCAACAGGCATCTTTATTAAGAGAAGATGGTTGCAGGCATTCTAGGCAGGATCTGAGGAGTTCTCTCCTATCCTTCAATGTTTTAAGTGTTCCCAAGTAGCCCCCACTCCACAGTTCTTCCGGGCGACAATTCCCCCCTTTTTCCCTTACTGCCAGCAAAAGGGAAACTTCAGAGAGGAGTAGATAAAAGGCGATGGCCATATTGTTATGGTCAGTCCTCTTGGTGAGAATCAACACCCAGTCCTTTTGAAGTTTAAGGAAGGAAGTGAGAGCCATAACCCCCCCTGCTCATCCCCCTCTCCCTTCGTAGTATGGCAGAATCCAGAGAGAGCAGAAATGGGTTTTTTCCATAGTAGATCACTAGAGATGAAATATAATTGGATTCTGCCTTTTCCAGGATGAAGCCTTGACGAAAGCGTTCCTGACGTCCGTGATCAGGATCACCAAGGCTCTTGTCCAGACCAAGAGTCAGGATGTCCATTTACCCCACAAATCTGAACTGGCCCTCAATATAAATGTAAGTGGGGGGACAGGTGCTCCCGGGACAATTTATTTCGGAAAGTGAATTTGGATGGAATTCTATGGAATATACCAGGTTCTCCTCGCCTGCCATTCAGCCCCAAATGGTTGTTGCTAAGTGGGACAATTGTTAAGTGAATTCTGCCCCATTTTACGACCTGCCTTGCCACCGTTGTTAACCGAATCACGGCTGTTAAATTAGTCACATGGTCGTTAAGTGAATCCGGCTTCCTCGTTGACTTGGCATGTCAGAAGGCCACAAAAAAGGGGATGACGTGACCCAGGGACACTGCGACCGTCATCCGTATGAACCAGTGGCCAGGTGACTCCATTTTGACCAGGTGACCATTAGGGAATGCTGCCGTGGTCGTAAGTGTGAAAAACCACCATCAGTCACTTTTTTCCAGTGCCATTGTAACTTCACATGGTCCTTAAATGGGCGGTTGTTAAGTGGAGGACTGTCGTGGTCTATTTGGCCAAGGGTGGCTAGGCACAGAGAGGTTCTCTCAAGTGGGGTGAGACACCGTGCAGACGCCCCCCAGGGCAGGAGCTCTCGGTGTGCATGCGGAAGCACAGAGGGACCCCCAGCCTCCCCGCCATAATGGCAGCAGTAAAAGAAGGGAGCAGGAAAGGGGAGGAGGAGAACGTGCAGCCAGACGATGTGGGGAAAGCGAGAGAAGGCAGGACTGTAAGGACCAGGTGTTCAGCAGAGGGAGGGCACAAGGCAGAAAACGCTGTGTGACTCGTTGCCCCAAAGGTGCTTTTTCAGGAGGCAACTGGATTTCCTTGTTTTTCTTTGAAGACGTTTCGCTTCCCCTCCAAGAAGCTTCTTCAGCTCTGACTGGATGGTGGGGAACGGACGGGTTTAACTGCCCTAAGTGCAGGCTGGTTGCCAGGTGACCCCGAGGAAGACTCGTCTCTCGGAACTTCGGATCTGGGTCATAAGGAGTCCTGGAGAGATCTGTCACAACTTTAAATGGTGGCTAAGTGACCAGTTATAAGTTGAGGACCTCTTGTATCAACCAGAAAAAGCATAGGGGTGGGAATAGAGCCAGTTGCATGGTGGCCATATCTCTGGAGCTTGCTCTGATGTGTTCCTCCTCCTCCTCCTCCTCCTCTCAGGAAGTCATTGAAAATGAGCCCGTGAGTCCCTTGTCCGTCAGAATTCTTCATCAAGCGATCATCGCAATCACCTGCATGACGTACGTACCTGCACCGCCCTCACCTTATCACCAGGGTTTGTAGGAACCGGGAGTTGGACCCAGTTATGGGATTTCCATGCCAAGTCCCCAGGCTCTAGAGCATGCGTCGAATTAGCAGGTCAGTCCCAGAATTTGGAAGGGTGAACAATTTGCAGGCTGGCCATCTGGGCAGTTCAGATCTGGGAAACAGGTGAGCGTGCTGATTTAGATGTGAGGGGTCCTTGGTGCTAACCAAGAATAGAATAGAGATGGAAGGGACCTTGCAGGTCTTCTAGTCCAGCCCCTGATCAAGCAGGAGAACCTATGCCATCTCAGACAAGTGACTGTCTAGCCTCTTTTTAAAACTCTCCAGTGACGGAGCGCCCACGATTTCTGGGGACAAGCTATTCCACTGGTTAATTATCCTCGCTGTCAGGAAGTTTCTCCTTAATTCCAGGTTGCTTCTCTCTTTGATCAGTTTCCAACCATTGTTTCTCGTCCTTCCCTCTGGTGCTTTGGTGAACGTGACCCCCTCTTCCTTGTGACAGCCCCTCAGATACTGGAATACAGCTATCCTGTCTCCCTATTTCTTCTTTTCTTTAGACTAGCCAAACACAAGTCCTGCAGCCGTTTTTCGTATGTTTTACTCTCAGGGCCTTTGATCTTCTTAATTGCTCTTATCTAATTTGCTTCCAAACTCTCAACATCTTTTTTGTGATATGGTGACCAAACGTGGCTGCAATATTCCAGGTGTGGTCTTACTAGGGTTGTATAAAGCGGTACTAATACTTCGCGTGATCTTGATTCTATGCCTCTGTTTATACCACCCAGGATTGTATTAGCTTTTTGGGCTGCTGCTGCACACTGCTGGCTCATGGTTAAGTGATCGTCCACTAGGACTCCAAGGTCCCTCTCACAGTTCCTGTTTTGAAGCCAGGTCTCGCCCAATCCGTACTTGTAGCTTTGATTTTTCCTGCCTAGATGTAAATCTCCACCCTGAAACTCATTTTATTGGATAGGGCCCATTGTTCAAGGTTGACTCAGCCTTCCATCCTTCCGAGGTCGGTAAAATGAGGACCCAGATTGTTGGGGGCAATAGGCTGACTTTGTAAAACCACTTAGAGAGGGCTGTAAAGCACTGTAAAGCGGCATATAAGTCCAAGTGCTATTGCTCTGTCTAGTTTAATGAAAAAAAGGTCTGGGGGTGACACGATAGCAGTCTTCGAATATTTGAGGGGCTGTCACAGAGAGGAGGGGGTCAACTACTCTCCAAAGTACCTAAGATAAAAAATCAATATATGGAAACCTATCAAAGAGAGATCCAGGAGAAATTTCCTGACACTGAGAACAATCCATCAGTGGAACGCTTTGCCTCCAGAGGTTGGGGGTGCTCCATCACTCCAGGTTTTCAAGAAAAGACTGGACAATCATTTGACCAGGATGGTATAAGCACCATCAAAAAGCAAGGGTTGGACTAGAAGACCTCCAAGGTCCCCCCTAGCCTCACGAGTCTACGATCTTCTCACACCCCCTCCTCTTTTCTTGTTTTCATCAGTCGTTTGAAGCCTACATTGAACACTGAGGTGATGTCTAAGTTGGTGAACACAAGCATCCAGAAGGTGTTTTCCCTGCCAGCTATGACAATGACCAAAGTGAATGCAGGTAGCCCAAACCAGTCAACCTATACTCAGGTGAGCAGTCCAGATGAAGCAAAGCAATATGAGATCCATCTGGACCTTTGGTGGGAGGACGAGGTGAAACATGAATCAAGATCTCCTCAAAAGCTCTGAATCCATCCATTGAGCCAAATGGCACCTTGGCCTGTCCCTTCATCCCTGGCCTTGAAAGAAGGCTTCCATTTCTCATTCTACCTTTCTTGATAGGACTAGTATTTTTAACTTCTAAACATCTCCATGGTCTTCCTCACCAGCTTTTCCTCTCTTCCTTCACTACTACTACTACTTTCTTCTTCTTCTTCTTCTTCTTCTTCTTCTTCTTCTTCTTCTTCTTCTTCTTCTTCTTCTTCTTCTTCTTCTTCTTCTTCTTCTTCTTCTTCTTCTTCTTCTTCTTCTTCCTCTTCCTCTTCTTCTTCTTCTTCTTCTTCTTTGTTCTGGTTGAAGTGTCTTCTCAGGACCAACTCCCCATCTTCCCCTTTTGTGCCCAGACGAAAGAAGGGCATACGGTGGTGCAGAACAACCATGATCTGCATGCATTAGCTATCATTCCTAGGTCATCTCAAAGAACCCTCAAGAAAAGGTACAACTTCTCTGACCTGAGTTTGATTCCTGCTCACTTTGGGGACATATCCACGACAGCTTCTTGGCCACAAGATGGAAGGGCAAAATTGTACGATGCAATTCCCAAAATAGAAGCAAAGCCCAGATTGTCTATTTGTGCCTGTTGAGATCCTAAGGAAGCTGCAAGAAAAGACTACATGGACATTGTGGATGTCCAACCTTGGCAACTTGAAGACCCTGGACTTCAACTCCCAGAATTCCCCAGCCAGCATGCCACAGTGGGACACCCCATTGTGGAAGAGCACAACTCCTGATATTGTTGATGCTGATAGATTTCCCTCCCAAATCAACTAGATCAACCATTTAATCAGAATTATTTCTGAGGGAAAAAGATTTACAGGAGGTCCTTGACTTACCACTGCAACCGAGTCAGAATTATGACCATAAGTCATTAGAGTCATAGGTTGAGGCACTAAGTGGCCAGATGGGATTTTTTGGCAGTTTTTGCAGTGGTCATGAAGTGAACGCGGCAGTCATTAAGCGGACGCTGCAGCTATTAAGCGAACAACATGGTCGTTAAGGGAATCCGTTAGGCCCAATGGGTATTTCTTGTTGGAAGCTAGAAGCAAATGCCCAAAACCAGCAATAAAGGTCAAAAAACGTGGGACAAGGCAAACAGCTGTAAAGGCGAGCCAGCACCCAAAATGCAATCATGGAACCTTTGAACTTTAACTTTGAAATTCTTACTTTGAAATTTGGTCTTAATGAGAGATTGTCCTAACTTTAAATGGTCACTAAGCAACTGGTCATAAGTCGAGGAGAACCCATACTACTCCCATGTAGCTTGTTGAAGCAGCCTTTGTTTTCTCCTGCTTTTTCCACCAAGGGAGAACTTTGTAACCTCCCCAAGGGGAGCTGTAGAAATTCAAAAACTCTACCCATAAGTCAGATAAAGAATTCTGTCCAGCACTATATCAGGGCTAGTCTTGATAAAGCTAAGCGAGGTCAGGCACGGTTGGGTCTTGGATGGGCAACTGCAACTAGTCCTCAACTGACAACAGATCATGTAGTGACCGGTTGAAGTTACAACGGCATGGAAAAAAGTGAGGTCGCAGCATCCAAGGGTCACCTGACCCCCTTTTGCGACCTTCCGACAAGCAACGTCAATGGGGAAGCTTGATTCATTTAATGACCGTGTGACTAACTAAACAACTGCAGTGGAAAGAAAGGTCGTAAAATGGGGCAAAGCTCACTTAACCATTGTCTCGCTTAGCAACAGAAATTTTGGGCTTAGTTGTGGTTGTACGTTGAGGACTGCCTGTCTTTGAATATCCTAGAATTGCAAGGAAGACATTCCACCTCTTAGTAAACCTTTTCTGGACGACAACATTACGGAAGTCCTTCTGTTCCTCGCTCTGAGCAGAGAAAGCATTTCCTCTGGCTCTTGAAGAAAAAACGGCCCTGCAAGATTGGCCGCTTCGTTTCCTGCAGAGATGGGGAACGAGGGCCATATTTCGGACTCGTGGCCTTCAATTACCAGAATTCCTGAGCTTAGGAAGTCCACAAGTCATAAAAGTGGCCCTCGTTCCCCACCCCTGGTTGTTCTGCCTCCTGGATGCGCTGCTCCTTCCTGTATGCCACCCCTTCCCTCTGATGTCTTCCTCCTTTTAGGACCTTTACCACCGGACGGTGACCGCCTGCAGCGCCATGCTCACCAGCTTGCTGTCGGAGGCTCCCAATTTGGATTCCCTGCAGGAGATCTTGATGGTGAGGCTTACTCTTGTTCTGGCTGGTTGCAGTGGTCGGCCAGAGGTTCAGACGGGACTTGGCAATGTGGTCCACCCGTAAGAGTCCTTCCCAAGGACCAGGGATAGGCAGACGTTGCCGTTGGTTGGCAAAGTATTGTCACAGCTGCGGAATGGAACAACTCGCCAGGGGACAACTCGACAATTCAGTTTAATTATTTAGAGCAGTTAAAACGTTTTAATTTTTGTCATTCGCATTTCATTTTGTCCCTCTTTTGGCATCCTTTCTTTAATGATGCTATTCCACTATTTCTCCGATATTAGCGTAATCCTTCATCAAAGATACAACGGCACTGAACGGCTGGTCAGAAGGTCGCAAAAGGGGACCGTGAGACCCCGGGACCCTGCAACCGTCATAAATATGAGTCAGTTGCCACGCATCCGAATTTTGATCCTGTGACCACGAGGATGCTGCAATGGTCCTAAGTGTGAAAAACAGCCACGACTCCCTTTTTCAGTGCCATTGTAACTTTGAACGCTAAATCCCAATAGCCCTTATCCTTATATGCCGCTTTACAGTGCTTCTACAGCCCTCTCTAAGCAGTTTATGGAGTCAGCATAATGTCCCCAACAATCTGGGTCCTCATTTTACCGACCTCAGAAGGAAGGAACGCTGAGTTGACCTTGAAACGGTCAGGACTGCGGGCAGAATTAGCCTGCAATACCGCATTCTAACCACTGCGCCAGCAGGGCTCTCAATGAACTGTTGTAAACCGAGGACTGGCTTTATTCCAAAAATCTTCAATTACTGGTCTAGTTTTGAGTCTAGAATAGACCTAAACTGCCAAATGTCTCAACTTCATTTGGCTCCTTCAATTTTCTCCCCAGTGCTGGCAAATTCTGTGGATCTTCAAACTGTTAATCACAAATTCTTTCTTTCTTTCTTTCTTTCTTTCTTTCTTTCTTTCTTTCTTTCTTTCTTTCTTCCTTCCTTCCTTCCTTCCCTCCCTCCCTCCCTCCTTCCTTCCTTCCTTCTTCTCTTTTTTTTTCCCCTGGCAGCACACAAATATCTGGATTGAATCTCCCAAGATTCACGAGAGAGAGAGGGCCATTAAAAGCACCTGGTACCTCCTGAAGTTTGTTTCTGAACAGACAGATTTCGACGTAAGTCACAGTTCTGGATGAGAAGTGAAACGTTTTCAGAGGAAAAATAAGTGTAAGGACCCACCCCACTTTGCATCTTAAGAAGACAGAACTCTTGGAATAATTCTTCCAACAGGAATCCTTTATTAAGAGAAAATGGTTGCAGGCGTTCTAGACAGGACTTGGGGTCCAAGCTCTCCAATTCAAGGTTTTAAGGGTTTCCCCAGTAGCCCCACCCAATCAACCCCCTCTTTCAGCGACAGTCTCAGGCATTACACTTCCACCCCCCTTTTCATTACTGCCCGGCTGGATGGAGACTTCAAAGAAACTACATGAAAGGAAAACGGCCCCATTCTTATGGTTAGTTCTTTTGCAATACACATATTCAGTTCCTTAGAAGTATACTGAAGGAAGTGAGGGCCATAAAGCCCCTTTGTTCTCCCCCTTCTCTCCCTCTTATGGCAGAATCCAGAGAAGGCAGAATTGGGGTTTTCTATATTTGATAACTAAAGGTGAAATATAATTGGATTCTGACATCAAGTAAGAAAGTCCAGTTTTCTTCTGGAAAAAGTGCCTTTGGGATGTGACCAGGATGCTGCCAAGAGTCCTGCTCGAGCAGCGGGTTGAAGGGCAATTAATCCACAGTCCCTTCCAGCTCTGTATTTCTGTGATTTTAAGCTTTCCTTATTCTAAGGGCCTGGTGGTCTCCAGCGCGGCTCGCTTGGCAGACGGAGGGGGGGAACATAGTTCCTGCCAGGCTCTGGGCTGGCCTCACCCCCTAGTGACTTCAGACTCTCATGATGAAGCAGCACATCCCACCTTCGTCGCCACTGTTAAGATTCGGATCTTGAAGGCATTAAGCGAGAGGAGTGTTAAAACAGCAACAAGTTTATTTAACTCTGAACAGAAGCAACTGAAATAGCTGCTGCGCAACTATTTATATGGTTAGCCTCCAGGCAGCAGCCAATAGGCTTAAAGTAACAGTTTCCCGCCCAAAACCTAATTACCAGCCTGGAGACAGCCAGTCTGGCTTAAGTAACAGCAGCCGTTACATTAGACATTAAGCAAGTGGTTCAAAACACTTGTGACCAATACATTACACTAATCTTCTATGATTCTATGAGTCTAAGGTTCTACGATTATAAGGTTCCATGATTATAAGATTGTATAATTGTATAATTCTGTGATCCTGTGATTCTAAGATTCTGATTCTATGATTCTAAGATTCTATGATTATAAGTTTCTATCATTCTGTGATTCTAAGATTCTATAATTCTAAGATTCAGTGATTATAAGCTTCTATGATTATAAGGTTCCATGATTCTAAGATTGTATAATTCTATGATTCTGTGATTCTAAGATGGTACGATTCTATGATTCTAAATTTCTATCATTCTGTCAGAATCCAATTATATTTCATCTCTAGTTATCAATTATAAAAAACCCCATTTCTGCCTTCTATGGATTCTGCCATACGATGAAGGGAAGGGGTGAACAAAGGGGCTTTATGGCCCTCACTTCCTTCGGTACACTTCAAAGCAGCTGATTCCATGTATTGCCAAAAGAGCTAACCATAAGAATGGAGCTGTTGCCTTTCATGTAGTTTTTTTTGAAGTCTCCATCCAGCTGGCAGAAAGGAAAAGGGGGTGGGATTGTGATGCCTGAAACTGTCGCTGGAAGAGGGGGGTGATTGGGTGGGACTACTGGGGAACCCCTTAAAACCTTGAATGGGAGAGCTTGGACCCCAAGTCCTGTCTAGAACGCCTGCAACCATTTTCTCTTAATAAAGGATGCCTGTTGGAAAAATGATTCCAAGAGTTCTGTCTTCTTAAGATGCAAAGTGGGGTGGGTCCTTACACATTCTATGATTCTGTGATACTATGATTGTAAGATTCTATAATTCTAAGATTCAGTGATTCTAAGATTCTATAATTCTAAGATTCTGTGATTCAAAGATTCTATGATTTGAAGATTCTATGATTATAAGGTTCCATGGTTCTAAGATTGTATACTTCTATGATTCTAAGATTCTGTGATTTGAAGATTCTGATTCTATATTAGGCTGAAAGCTTCATGAGCCCCCTTCTCTTCTTTCTCCTCCTTTCTCCTTCCTTTCATTAGACCACAGCTGACTTTTATCTGCTGGGGCAGCTGGTGGCGTTGCTGGGCCTGCACATTGGTGACAGTGTCAAAGAAATTGGCCAGACCTCTGCGGAGGCCACTTACCACCTCCACTGCATCATCCTGAACAAAATGGGTGAGAAATTTTGACTCCCTCGCCAAGGGGCTGCCGTGCTCTAAGGAGACCGCAGATGCACGCTGCCCAGGAGAGCAGTGGGTGGCACAGCCTCTGGCTTGACCAAGACCCTGGGCACTGGGCTTGGCAGAGTTGCCTTGAATGTGCAATTGATATTGGCTTCTCTCAGGGCCAGGGGTCCTTTTAAGGCTGAGTTCTCACGTTACGTGGGACAGTTAGGCTAAGCACCTCCGGTCACCCAGCGCGGGATTGTCAATCTTGGCCCACTGTTTGTGTCTTAGCGTGTTTTGCAAAGCCACATTTTAGTAATTGGATGGCTGGATGTATTGTGGGAAGGGAGAAAATGGGTTAACAAAGTTACTGATTGGGTGGACAGTGTTAAGGGAAAAGCTAAAGGACGAGTGCTTAGCCTTAGAATAAATTCTACGTTAGTTTTATAGTTTCAAGACCATTTCATATGTCTTCTCATGTTTTAATTGGGAGCCCTCCACAATCAGTTGAAAGGCAGGCAGTTGTACAAATGCTTTAAAGAAAGTAAAGGCTCTGATAAATTTGGTTAGTTAAAAGCTTAACCCAGTGATTGTGAACCTTGGCAACGTGTGGATTTCAGCTCCCAGAATGAAATCAATTCAGAGCCTAATGCTAAATTTGCACAACAGGCAAAATGTAGTCAGAGTTAAATCCAGTTAGATTCATTCGTTCGTTCATTCGTTCATTCATGTAATTTGTCTTTTATGTAACTCTATTTATTTTTTCTTTAAGGTCCAGCCTATTGTGTTAACCTAAAAAAGGGACAGACTCATAGAGGAAGGGAGGGAGAGAGGGCGGGGACAGAGGTAGGGAAGGGAGAGAGAGAGGAAGGGGAGGGAGGGAGAGAGAGGGAGAGAGGAGGTAGAGAGAGAGGGAGGGAGGGAGAGGAAGGGGAGGGAGGGAAGGGAGAGGGGAGAGAGAGAGGGAGGAGAGGGAGGGAGAGAGAGGGAGAAGAGGGCGGGGACAGAGGTAGGAAGGGAGAGAGAGAGGAAGGGGAGGGAGGGAGAGAGAGGGAGAGAGGAGGTAGAGAGAGAGGAGGGAGGGAGAGGAAGGGGAGGGAGGGAAGGGAGGGGAGGAGAGAGAGAGGGAGGAGAGGGAGGGAGAGAGAGGGGAGAGAGGGCGGGGACAGAGGTAGGGAAGGGAGAGAGAGAGGAAGGGGAGGGAGGGAGAGAGAGGGAGAGGGGGCAGAGAGAGGGGGAGGGAGGGAGAGGAAGGGGAGGGAGGGAAGGGAGAGGGGAGAGAGAGAGGAAGGGGAGGGAGGGAGAGAGAGGGAGAGAGGGCGGGGACAGAGGTAGGGAAGGGAGAGAGAGAGGAAGGGGAGGGAGGGAGAGAGGGGGGAGAGAGAGAGGGAGGGAGAGAGAGAGAGGAAGGGGAGGGAGGCAGAGAGAGGGAGAGAGAGAGGGAGGGAGAGAGGAAAGGAAGGGAGAGGGGAGAGAGAGGGAGGGGAGGGAGAGAGAGAAAGAGGGAGGGAGGACAGAGAGAGGGAGGGGAGGGAGGGGAGAGAGAGAGAGAGAGAGAGCATGCCTGCTTTAGCATCACCAACCCTAATGCAAAGATGCACCAGGCTGGGGTTCGAGAGTTCCCCTGCCCAGGTTCCTTTTCCTTTTAGCAAGAATTTTTGTCACCCTACACAGCAAGGCTGAGCTCGGACAGCCATTTTTTTCTTTGCAAATGTTTGTTTGGCAAGGTCCTCAGAACAGCAATATGTAACACACACACACACACACACACACACACACACACGCACAGGGCCTGAGGATGGTGCCAGGTAATGACAGTTGGGTGGGGTTCTTAGTGCTCTCTGAGCCTGGCGGTTTTCTTGCAGACCTTTCAAGACCCAACTAGGTAACATCATCAGTGCTTTTCTCTGTGTTTTGCCCTCTCAGCACTGATGGCCATCATCACTTGCTGTGCAGGTTCTGAGGTGTTGCTTGATAAAACAATACAGGAAACCAGAAGTTCCCTTTAAGCTTTACATTTTTATTCAGCTGAACAAAGCCCCGAATGAGAAGAATTCAGTGTATTTATTCCTTCTGATTATATAAGCAATCCACCGGGCAGCGCTGACACACACATAAGATCAAGATTTCGCCCCGTAAGTCTGGCACACTGTAGCTAAGAAGGGAGAAAGCAGAAGTAGCTAAAAATGTTCCCTTTGGGGGGTTTCCCTAAAGACCTCGGACGTTCCCGGGTGGGTTAGGACATGGGCTGTTTTCCTTGCTGCCCTTTCACGACCTGCCTCCATGACTCTGCAAGGGCCCAAAGTCAGCGGGGCCCTCGGCACATATTCACAATTGATACTTCCTATGCTGTCTCCTAATTCGGGTCAACACACTGATGATGTTACCTAGTAGGGTCATGAAACGTCTGCAAGAAAACCACCAAGCTCAGAGAGCAGCAGGAACCCCCCAGTTCAGCCCTGAGCTACACATTTTCTCTTCGGTTGGAACGACTAAACCAGGGAAAAGGATGTTCAGAGGTTCTGAAGGCCAAAATCTGACCTTGTGGTTTTTTTCCCTCCCTACAAAGCTCAAGAGATGGAGAAGAAGCCCAAGAACAGGAAGGGGCATAATGTAACCTGGGCCAAAGAGGATTTCCTCAATTCGGGCCCAGGAATATTTTACAAAGACATCTACAAAATGGCTAAGGTAGGTTTTAGTCCAGCCTTTTGCCTTCTTCTTGACCTTCCTTTCTATCCTCCTCCTTAGGACCTGGAGATGCTCCAAAAAGCCAGTGTAACATGACGGCATGATCCAAAGGCTGGAGTTTGGCTATCCAGTCCATACAATCCATGGGATGAATGTATAAGAATGTATTAGAATCTAGATTATGTGAAGGGTTAATACCACTTTGTAGTGCCTCAATAAGGCCACACTTGGAATATTGCATCCAGTTTTGGTCACCATGATGTAAAAAAGATGTTGAGACTCTTGAAAGAGTGCAGAGAAGAGCAACAAAGATGATTAGAGGGCTGGAGGCTAAAACATAGGAAGAACGATTGCAGAAATTGGGTATGTCTAGTTTAATGAAGACGAGGGGTGACAGGATAGCAGTGTTCCAGTATCAGTTCCAGTATCTCAGGGGCTGCCACAAAGTAGAGGGAGTCAAGCTATTCTCCAAAGCACCTGAAGGCAGGACAAGAAGCAATGGGTGGAAACTAATCCATGAGAGAAGCAACCTAGAAATAAGGAGAAATTTCCTGACAGTTAGAAAAATTAATCAGTGGAACAACCTGCCTCCAGAAGTTGTGAATGCTCCAACACTGGAGGTTTTTAAGAAGAGATTGGACAAGCATTTGTCTGAAATCATGTAGGGTTTCCTGCCTGAGCAAAGGGTTGAACTAGAAGACCTCTAAGGTCCCTTCCAACTCTGCTATTCTATTCTAATGGACGGAAGAGGCAATTGTAGCTGTCATGTTGGCTTCTTTTTACCCACACCGTAATATCAATGAACATCATTGATGACATGGAATAAGCCCTGCCTCTCTGTACAATGTCCTTTCCCCAAATCTGGGTCAAAGTATTTGAACACCACCACCCCTTGTAGAGACAAGAAAGTCAAAAACCCTGATTCATCTCTGTGTGGTCTCCTTTTCTTCTCTCCGATAGGCCTTTGGTGAGCATCTCTCCCCCATAAACATCACAGACCTGATGCTGAAAATAATTGAGGCTCTCACACATGAGGAGAAGACCATTTGCCACTCTGCTGGAGTACTACTCCTCTCCTTCCTGGAGGAATGTTGTATGGACATGGAGGAAGTAAGAAATGGAGGGTTTGGAGCAAAAGGGATATAGGAGATTTTGTAGAAAAGAAGGATGAGAATGGATGTGACCTTGTGCTCTGAGGCCCTCTTGGTGATGACAACACTTTGGCTGGTTTTAAGAAAGTTAGGGCTGGATGGGAGACCACCAGGTGATCTTAAGGCTGTAAAGTTGGGTAAACCTTCCAGAAGAAAGTAAGGGCAAAACAAAATAGCCATATTGTTTTCATGAAAACTTTATTTAGAGAGCCACTTGGATAGAGGGTTTTTTTTGGGCCCACAGTCACAATTCTGTGATGATATTTTGTCCCATTTATAGAGGGCCTCCGCGCATCTATTGTGGCCAGTGCAAATTTGGTTCAGTGTTGTCCATATCACACGGGGCTTGATAAACCAGATGTTTTTTTCCAAAATGTAAGGCAAACTTTAACACTGTGTGGGCCAATTTTTTTCCCCAATGGTGGGAGTGATCAACTCCACTGCATCTCCAGTGGAGACCGACACCGGAGCTCATCCCTCTGATCTCTGTTTTGCTGTAGATACCCAAGATCCTCAGGGAAATTTACCATCGTCTCCCCAACATCAGTGAACCGGCCACGAAAGAAAACACCCTGAAGTCCGTGTGTCACCTGGCATCTAAATGGGTGAAAGAAGTGGTGGACTTTCTCCTGGAACGCTCCCCGGATTGCGATCAGTAAGAACCTCAAGGAGATGAGGACTCCTGTTTTCTTACGGTCTACGGAGATTCTCAATCATTCGTGATAGTGGAGAATAACTGTAGCTGGGGTGGAGGATGAGGGTGGAGGTTCGTCCTCCGAGCTTCTGCTTGGTTTCCGAATGTTTCATTACCAGGCTGGGTTTGTGGGATGTCGGTGTTCTGCTTGTAAGGGCTTCAGGTGTGGGTGTGTCGAGTGAGGGTCTGTGAGTCATCGGTGATGGGGAGGTTACCTCTTTGGCTTTGGGCAGGGGGTGGGACTAGAAGACCTCCAAGGTGCCTTCCAGGCCTATGAACCTAGGAATGACAGAATAACAGAGTTGTTAGGGATCTTGGAGGTCTTCTAGCCCAACCCGCTTCTCAGACAGGAAACCTTACACCATTTCAGACAGGTGGTTGTCCAATCTCTTCTGAAAAACCTCCAGTGTTGGAGCATTCAGAACGTCTAGAGGCAGGTCGTTCCACTGGTAAAATTGTTCTCAGTGTTAGGAAATTCCTCCTTAGTTCTGGGTTGCTTCTCTCCTTGATTAGTTTCCATCCATTTGTGCAAATGATTTGTGTTGGTGAACAAGCCCTCTTGATGTGGACCCCCCGTGGGACAGCTGCCCCATATGCTGTGGCTTTGCGGGGGAGGCATGTAGGAATGAAAGAGGGGGAAGCTGAGCTGGTTTTCACCTTCATTGTGGTTTGCAGTGGTGGTGACTATCTTTAGCTCAGGTGAAGGAAGCGGGTAAAGATTCCTTCTTGTGGGTTGGTTTCCAAATGTTTCGTTACCAGGCTACGTAACAACTTCAGCAGAGTTTAGGGGATGTTAAGTGTTCCTCTGTTTATAAGGGCTTTGTGTTGTGATGGGGAGGGTCTTGTGATGGGTCTAGTGATGGATCTTGTGATGAGTCAGTTGTGGGTCACGGGTGAAGATCTTGTGAGGAGTCCTGTGATGGTCATGTGCTGGTTGGGGGGAGTTGTGGTGGGTTGGTTGAGGGTTGGTGTCATTGCCGGTTGGCTGTGCAGTCGAATGCTGCAAAGGTCGTGAGGATGAAAACTGGTCATACATCCCTTTTTTCAATGCCGTTGTAACTTCAAACGGCCACTAAATGAACTGTTGTAAGTCCAGAAGTACCTGTATAACTGTCCACGGAGATTCCCACTCATCCAGGTGCTCCTTATCCCAAAGTGCTTTTTCACCAGGCAACTGGACTTTCTTGTTTTTTGTTTTTCTTTGAAGATGTTTTGCTTCTCCTCCCAGAAGCTTCTTCGGCTCTGACTGAAGGGGAACGGAAGGGTTTCATTCATTCTAGACGTCCAGGAGAGATTTTTGTCTTGTTGTGTAAGACTGAAGATGGTGACCCTGAAGACACAGATAAGCTTCCAGGTAGCTTGAACGACTCGCAGAAAGAATGCAAACGACCAGCTGCCTGCAAGGAAGAGAAGTCCTTTCATTGCCCACCATCCAGTCAGAGCTGAAGAAGCTTCTTGGCTGAGAAGTGAAACGTCTTCAAAGGAAAAAGCAAAGAAGCAAAAAAGTCCCGTTGCCTCGTGGAAAAGCATCTTTGGGATAACGACCTGTATATTTCTTTTCCTGGATGAAAGCCGTTAGTTTGGCCCTCACCGTAAGCTCCATCAGTTCTCTAATCCATTGGAGCTTTTTCACCTCTGGACTGACAGTCTCTTCTGAAAGGGGGAAAGAATCTGATTGGTCCAAATCTATTTTTTCCACCTTTGCAGAAGTGCAGGAGAGATATGGAGGGCGCTCATTGAAGACCCCGTTTTAAAGCAAAAATTACGAAGAGCCCTGCAGAAAAGGCTACAAGGGAAGCGCTGTCGATGGCTGTAGACCCTGGGATACAAACACTCTGTTCCCAGGGTCCAATTATGTCGCTGGCGGGCCCATCAGGGCTGAATGCCACCCTGGAGGTGAATTCTTTGAAGAAACCAAAATAGCGTCCGGAACCGGCGAGAGAAAGGCGGAGAGCTTCGCGTTTGCCACCATTTCCAGCAGATCATCGGAGACAGGAGTCAGCAGTTTCAGGAAGCAAGCAACCGGTCCAGGTGAGATGATATTAGTTTTTGTTGCAAAGTGGACCATTGAGAAAATTGCCTGCCTTTAAAGCAAAGCTGGAAGCCTAAAGGGAGGAGGAGGGGGGGAATTTTGCTTCTTCCTCACCCCCTGAAAAGCGGCGGTTTCAGCGTTTTAAGACTTTTGAAAACTTTTTGAACTCAAGGTGAATTGAAGGAATCCGCCTGTTTTATTATAGAGGGAAAGAAGACCTACTATTATTATAATTGGGAAAAGCCACCTCAACTGCTTTTTTTTAGTATTTTTTAGAACGTTCCTTTTGTATATTTACTGTTGAAACTTTCTCCTTTTTTTACTTTCTCCCTATGTAGGTGAGGAAAGAAACAGCGTCTTTCCTGTGGTTATGGGGTGGTTATTTTGTAATTTTTTCCTTTGTTCCTTTTTCTACACTAACTTTGTTGATTCAGCTGTGGAGTTTGGCTCAATGCCCAGACTTTTTTCTCTCTCTGGGAGATTACTAAGAGAGACTGCTTTTCTTTTTTGCTGTGTCTGGTTCCCTTTTGGATTTGCTTTATTCTTTTCAAAATAAGGGAAACTGCAGAACAAGATTTGTAAGCTTTTTAACTGGACTATAAATTGGATACTGTTTTTTTTACCCTGCTCCTTTTTTTATTCTTTCTTTTTTGTCAACCTTGCTGTATGGATATAAACATACCTTTTATGTCCTTTTTATTATTATTTTGTTTAGAGACCTTGTATTCCTTTTTATATTTTTTTCCAGCATTTCCGACATCCCTCAAACTCTGCTGAAGATGTTTCCCAGTCTGCTAATGAAACATTTGGAAACCAACTCAAAAGCTCGGAGGACGAACCTCCACCCTCAGCCTCCACCTGAGCTACAGATATTCTCTACTATTACGAATGATTGAGACTCTCCATAGACTATAAGAAAACAGGAATCGTCATCTCCTTGGGGTTCTTACTGATCGCAATCCGGGGATACTCCAGCAGGTGGTCCACCACCTGGTTTACCCGTTTTGAGGCCAGGTGACACGCGGACTTCTTTAGTGGCCGGTTCACTGATGTTGGGCAGACACTGACAAATTTCCGTGAGGATCGTGGGTAGCTACGGCAAAACAGAGATCAGAGGGATGAGATCCAGCGTCGGTCTCCAAACCCTGCATTTCTTACTTCCTCCATGTCCATCACACATTCCTCCAGGAAGGAGATGAGTAGTACTCCCGCAGCCTGTGAAATGGTCTTCTCCTCATGTGTGAGAGCCTCGATGTTGTCATCAGGTCTATGATATGCGTGGGGGAGAGATGCTCACCAAAGGCCTATCAGAGAGAAGAAAAGGAGACCACACAGAGATGAATCAGGGTTTTTGACTCCCTTCTCTCTACAAGGGGGGGGGGGTTCAGATACTTTGTCCCAGAGGCAGGGCTTATTCCATGTTGTCAATCACGTCCACTGATATTAGGGTGTGGTTAAAAAGAAGCCAACTTGGCAGCTGCAATTGCCTATTCCTAGCCATTAGAATAGAATAACAGAGTTGGAAGGGGCCTTGGAGGTCTTCTAGTCCAACCCTCTGACATGGCTTCCCCATCACAAGACCCATCAGAAGATCTACACCTGTGACCCACACCTGACCCCTCAGAAGACCCACTCGACACATCCACACCTGGAGCCCTTACAAGAAGTATACCGACATCCAATATTTGCAAATAGTGGAGAGGTGGACCTTAGATAAGAAAGTGGGAATCACCTGAGCAGATGAAAATTTGGTAATTCAGATTAAAGATCAGAAATATGCTCATATTAAAAGAATGTATAATGAGTTAATAAATTTGGATTCGGAAATAGAGCTACTAAAAGATTGTATGATTAAATGGGCTCAGAATATTCAGGAACCGATTTTATTGGATTTATGGAAGTTAATTTGGATTAAAAATGTTAAATTTACACAGGCTCAAAATTTGAGGGAAATTTTTTATCAAATGTTTTATAGATGGCATCTGGATCCTAAAAAGTTGTCTTGTATGTACCCGAACCTGCATCCTAAATGTGGGAGATGTGGTAGCTTGGATGCAACTTATTTTCATGTTTGGTGGACTTGTAAAAATATTAAAGCCTTTTGGATTATGATTTGGTGGACCATTCAAAAGGTTTTTAAGAGGAAGATTAAGTTTACTCCCCAATAATTTCTTTTGGGTATTTTTGTGGATTTTGATGGGTTGGAGGTTAAATAGGTCAGATAAGTAGAAATAGTTGTTCTTTTGTATATAATATTGATGTTTTAACTTGGAGAGAGGAATTGCTTGGGCATTTCCCCTGGACCGCATCCGGAGTGAGAAGATAGGAGGAAGGGGCGAAGTAAGTAGGAAGGTTGAGGAGAAGGAGGAGAGGGGGAGAGTTAGGAAGAGGAGAGGGAAAGAGGTAAGTGAGAGAAGAGGTTAGAGGGTGGATGCGGTTTGTGGGGAAATGGGTGAGCAATACCAAAAGTTGTCTGTATAAATTTACTTTATTCTTTATCTGAAGTATTCTTTATGAATGTAATGAAAAATTGAAAATAAAGAATCTTTTACAAAAAAAAAAAAAAGAATACCGACATCCCTCAAACTCTGCTGAAGATCTTACCCAGCCTGGTAACGAAACATTCGGAAACCAAGCAGAAGCTCGGAGGACGAACCTCCACCCTCATCCTCCACTATCACGAATGATTGAGAATCTCCATAGATCGTAAGAAAAATGGAGTCCTCATGTCCTTGAGGTTCTTACTGATCGCAGTCCAGGGAGTACTCCAGCAGGTGGTCCACCACCTGGTTTACCTGTTTTGAGGCCAAGTGACACACAGACTTCAGGGTTCACTGATGTTGGGGAGTTGGTGGTAAATTTCCGTGAGGATCGTGGGTAGCTACGGCAAAACAGAGATCAGAGGGATGAGATCCAGTGTCGGTCTCCACTGGAGATGCAGTGGAGTTGATCACACCCACCCATTGGGGAAAAAAATTGGCCCCCAGAATGTCAAAGTTTGCCTTACATTTTGGAAAAAAACTTCTAGTTTATCAAGCCCATCTGATATGGACAACACTGAACTGAATTCGCACTGGCCACGGTAGATGCGCAGAGGCCCTCTATAAATGGGGCAAAATATCATCACAGAATTGTGACTGTGGGCCCAAAAAAACCCTCTATCCAGCTGGCTCTCTAAATAAAGTTTTCATGAAAACAACATGGCTATTTTCTTTTGCCCTTACCTTCTTCTGGAAGGTTTACCCAACTTTATAGCCTTAAGATCACCTGGTGGTCTCCCATCCAGCCCTAACTTTCTTAAAACCAGCCAAAGTGTTGTCATCACAAAGAGGGCCTCAAAGCAGAAGGTCTCATCCATTCTCATCATTCTTTTCTACAAAATCTCCTATATCCCTTATTTATTTATTTATTTATTTATGAGACTTATATACCGCTTTAAGTGCAAGCACTCTCTAAGCGGTGTACACCAGTAAGCAATGTATATATATATTT